AAGCTGTACATGTATATACGTTTACTGCTCTCTCTGACAAGAGGGAATTACATGTCAGAAGGATTTGTAGCATCTGTAATTGAATTGCTGCTGAGAAAAGCAAATCTTAAGGAAGAATAACACATTAGGATTAGCAAATAATGTGGCGTTTTGTCAGAGCCTGCCATCTAGCTTGTCCCTCTTCAGTACTGTACCGGTGACTCTCTCTCCCCCCCCCCACTTCACTCTTTAACTAAAGAGACAATGTTAACTGGGGCAACCATTTCAGCTGACACTTACTTTTAAGGTCAATATTTGTTTGCAAAGCAAATCTGTCACACACCCCACTCCTACCACTGGTTCTGGCACAGGTCGATAGTCAATGACACACACACACACACACATTGCATACGCACACACAAACACGTGATGGGCTGAGTTGGGGCATGCTATAACATCTAATGGTCACTGTGAGTTTGTTTTTACAATTAGCCGTTAACTTTGCATGCAGAATTTATGCAAAGCAAAAAGATTATCTCAGCCAGCAGAAAACTCTGCGCTATGCCGTCCTTTGCGTGTCTCTTAATTTCATGTCCTGCTTCACACGTGTCATTTCTGCAGGGCTGCTGTACGTCTGGGTTTGTAGATTGTAACTTTTTAAATTGCCAGCTCGATAAGCAGATAAATCTCTATTTCAGCTGGGGATACTTTTTTTTTTTTGCACTTGGAAGACTTCAAAGGAAAAGTGTTACATAAAGAAGTGAAAACGCCTGATCTAATATCTTGTGACACTTTGAAATAAAAAAAAAATTGATTTGCTTCCAGAAGCATCTAAAAATAGCAAGGCTCATTCCAGTATTGCACCCCAGCCAGCAGAGACCACCAGCTGGTAGCACAGTGTTTTTTTTGTGTGGGGTTTTTTTTTAACTTTTCAGAAATCGCTCGGGTATACGAAGTCAAATCTAATCTTTGCATTTTCCTTCTTTCTTTCTTTTTTTAAAAAAATCTAAATCGCAAGCATAAAATGTCCCTGAGGCTTTTGCTTTTCTCCTAAAAATGGATAACCAACCAAAATGTGCTTAGAGACTGCAGAGAAGTAGAAGTCTAAGAAGAGATGCGAGGTGGGTGCTTTTCTGCAGATGTGGGCATCTCTTCTCCAGCTTCCAGTGCCCAAGAGAGGTGGTTTGCGGAAGAGGATGTGGGAGCGTCACTAAAGAATCAGACAACTCGACAACTTCTGTTTGCAACAAAATTTTCCTGCAGTATGACTCTCCCACCATTAAGGTCAACAAGCCATAGACCACCACCTCTGCTATATACGTAGATTGAGTTTTCCTGCTCTCCTTTAATTACAGTAGATCTAAGAGTGCCTTTGAACAGTCTTAAAAATGCAAGCAAATGACTTGTGGCCTGTGGATGAGACCAGAGTTGGAATTGGTATCAGACCCTTGTGCCCTTCAAAGAGTGAAGAAGTCTTCCGTCTTCAGGGCAGAGACTGTTGTAAAGGCACAAGTAAAGGGTTGATGTCCAGGGATCCTTCCCTAGGATGCAGTGCAGAAGTGGGGGCATTCAGACTGAAATGAAACTGAAATATTGATCAATGTTAGCAAGCTTTCCGTAGAATAACATCTGCAAACTGACTTGAAAAGGAGCGGCTCCCCTCGTTTGATGATCTAATAGAGGAAGCATGGGCTTGTTATCCTTTAAGGTGAGGAAGGCACTCTTGACTGTCTTCCACAGGTGCAATGCTCATTGGCTTGCAAGCACCGAGCATCCTCTACACACTGTAGTTAATTTTTAATTAACATGTACCCTCAAAGACGGGATACTTAGCCATGCACAAAATAAAATAAACTCGGAGCGTGCACTCTGCAAAGCTTCTGTTTTCGTAGAAATAATTAAGAAAAATGTGAGTGCAGATCCCAGCGGAAGGAATCGCATTTAATAAACTCGGCTGGCCAAAAGCGTGTGGTAAGCGGCACACAGGCTTCTTTGGGGAAGAACAGGCTAGATGAGGAGCTACTGCTGTTGACTTAATTGCAAATTGAACAGCAGCCACGAGAGCTTGGCAAGTGAGTGACATTGACACAATATTTCAGTTGGTCTGTTGCGGGACAGATGCTCAACTGGCGTAAATCAACCGAATGCCAGAAACTGTCACTTCAGCTGCGCCGGGTGTATATCAGCTGTGGTGCCCGTAGTTTTGTTGTTTTTTCCCCCCATGTGTGTCCCATTTGCAGTGGACAACCTTGGCAGAAAAGGATGTATTCTCTCCAGGCACTGTGCAAAGAGCCTTGTATTGTTTCCCCTAACATCACTCAAGATCATCCTAATGTCAGAAGGGTCTCTAAACAATGCTTCTATGTATTCTGTAGAGGGCTTTGGAATTGGTGGGAGCAACCACAGAAATAAAAGCCCTTTAAGGTTGGGGACATAGACCCATTGAGAAACCTGCAACTTCCCAGCTGGCAGGTCAGGGGTTGAATTTTTGCCTGTCTGCTCCTCCCTCTGCTCTGCTTGTACCATTTCCCTGGAAATTTTGGTGACTCCACCTGAAAATCCATGGGGACAGGACAGACGGAACCAGATCTTACCAGAATGTGATAGCATCTTTAATTTCACACGGATTTAGACCTTCCCTTGGTAGCTCAGTAGCATATAACAGTTATGACAAGATGCTGCCAACTGAGTCAAGCTGTGATCACAGAGACACTGGGAATGTGATTGGTGATCAAGCAACACGATAAGCCTGTTAATTGTGGGAAGCATTAAAATATCTTTCTCATTTAAATATTCATGCGCAAATTTTTAAAATAAATGTTTCCTTACTCCGGATCCTGGTATTATGGAAGAACTGCATTTTCCCTTGTGATCTGAAGCTATTTGGCCATTTGGGATTTGTTCATTCTCCTCCTTGAGAAACTTGTTCTTAAGAGCTGTCCTACCGAGGCAAATTTTTGTCGCTCTGCCTCTGGGCCACATTTCGACCCTGCATAAACACCGCTCCCCCGGAAACGAGAGATAATCTGGAGCATCCTCTTCTTACCGTATATTAAGAGATGCCTTATGCAGTCTACCTGCCATTTGCAGGAGATGGTCATGCAAACCAGTTTGCATCCTCTCCATGATTCGCCTTTTGGGCTTCCCTGGGGAATGGAGTCTTGGGACCTTAGTTAAACATCCGGCAGGCAAGTGACACAAGAGCTGTCCCAAAAGAAACTCGTAATGCAGAGCTGAACTCATAGGGTGCATTGCCAAAGAGCACTTTTACCTTGCTCCCAGCAGAGCAGTGGTTGTGGTCCTGTTTTGTGCGGACTCGCAAGCTTGCCAGATGCTCATCCTCCATTGACAGTGCGCAGGGCCCTTGAGTTGCACGGTAACCGTGTGTGGTGGACTGCTGCTGACCTTCGCCCACTTCTCGATGCCCCGACGTGAACCTCGGTTTTTCCTCTTTGCGGTTTGAAAGGCGGCGGCAGCGGCAGCAGCGAGGAACGCTCTGAAGGACCCTTCTCCTAATTGAAACTGTTTTTAATTAAACCGTTTTACAGCGCTCTCAGTCACGAGTTATTTACTTACATCCTTTGGTGCTTAATCTTGGAGCAGAATTGGAAATATCAATGGGAAGCATAAATTCCCAGCCCCTGCTGCAAGCATTGTATCAGGTCTCTCCTCCAAAGAGCACCATTACCTTTAGCTGTCACGGATCTGTACACTTGATCGATAAACTTCAAATATTATTAGAGGTGGAGGCTTCAGAGATTGACTCTGTTCTTTGGAGAGAGGCTGAGATAAATCTTTCTTAAAAAATTGACTGGAATTTGCACACTCGCTCTTCCTGGTGAAACGCATTTCTCTTAGGTGCCTGGGCAGCTGCAGGGGGTGGAAGGGCAGATTTATGGGCTGTATGCTTCTTGTAGTGAAAGATTTAAATGGTAAATCCTTCACATATGACTTCACAAATCATGTAAAGTTAAAAGAATTTTACCGTTTCTGTTGCTGCTGCTGTGCTTAAATTGTAAGGGATGGCCAGTAAATCATTTTAATGGAGGTGTCACAGTTGAACTCAATAAAAAGGGGGGGGCGGCGACAATGGTTTTAGCTTCCATTCAAAAATGTTAATGTATTAATCAACGAGAGAATAATTGTTTTTTACTACATTATAAATCTTGGTTGCCATTGGAATTGCAGCCAGGGCTGTTGTAGCTGCATTCTTAAATTAAAATTGTTTACATTGCTATACATTAATTTTACACAGCCATCGCTCATTCCGGGTTCGTTGTGGGATTTCTCCCCAGCCGTGCAAGTCCTTCCTCCTCTCCAGGTGGAGGGAGGGAGGGAGGGAGGGAGGGAGGGAGGGAGCAGCAGCTTATAAAAACAAATCAATTGTGTGGCAAGTTGTTAAATAAATAAAATAAAGAAGCATGTCATGATTGCTTGCTATCTTCATTTCAGAGAAATCTTGCAGAGGGGATCAACATCCACAGCATTTGAAATTATCAGGCTAGGTTTCAGAAGTGTTTTCTCCTTGAGTCAGCCAGCAATTTGAGAACAGGGTCCCCTTTTTTCCTTTCTGTCCTTTTATTTATTTATTTATTTATTTATTTATTTATTTTTGCATGCACAGTTTGGCTGTGTAAATGGTTATTTGAGATGACATCATCTGGGTGAAGTGCTGGGGACATCGGCGTGGAAGTTTTTGCAACAACAACAAAAACGATTCAGGGCTCCATGTGCTTCCTTCCTCTCCCCTTGCCCCAGCTTTGCCCATCTTGACTTGCCCACTGCATTTGGAAATGTCTCTTATTTCTGCTCTTGGTGAGCCGACTAGGCTGGGTTGCTTGTTCTTCTGCCTGAGCTGACTTGCCTGGGTACTCCTATTTTTCCCCCTTGTTAAAAGAAACAAAACCAAAAAGCCACACACACTCCCATAAAAACCCAGATGGAAGTGGAGGAGGGTTGCCCTGATTTGCAAGTGGCCATTATTACGGATATTAATACTTACTGTTTTCTAATTGTGGCAGATTCTCGAGCAGGTGAGGAAAGTGCCATCACCGCTGTGGACCATGCCGTGATTGGTGGAGTCGTGGCCGTGGTGGTCTTTGCGATGCTCTGTCTCCTTATCATTCTGGGACGATACTTTGCAAGACACAAAGGTAAATCAGCAAGAATAGGGCTTAACTGAACTCCCTCCCCCTACAAAAATGGAGAAGAGGAGTCTATATGCACCTCACAGCCATCACCTGTTTAGAGTTTTGTGTGTGAGAGAATGAGCCGCTTGGTGCCTGTTTGCAGCTCCTGTTTTCCCTAAACTGTCACTTGGCTGCCATTTTTTAAAAGGTGGCTCTTCCAGAGAAAGTCCAGCCAAACAGGAATCGCACAAGTCAAATCAGAGTGAGGAACCAGTGCTCTCATTCTCTGTATGGGATTGTCAGGAAGCCCAGGCAGATGACTTCACAAAGTTCAGAAGAAGGAGACAGTGCCCTCACTCTGATTTGAACATGTTTTGCCTTTGTTCCTTAGGTGCGCCTATGGGTGTTCATGGGGGTTCGTTTCATGTGGACTTTTTTAAATTTATTTTGCAAGATGTACCCTTGTTTTAGCTTGAAAGGGGCTGTCTGCAACAGGAGTGGGACCCAGGTTCCAATTCTGATCCATGTCATTCTTTTTTAAATGCAAGAAATACATAGAGTTACCAAACTGGACATGCAAGTGTTACTTCTCTAGCAAAATGAAAATTTGAGAGCATCTGGAGGGCTATTGGATATGGAGAGGAGAGGGCAACCCTCCGCCTATGGCAACCATGCACCTTTCAAAGGCACAAAGGACCCTTTGCAATTGATGGGATTTGCAAGTATCCAATTCCATAACCTGTTTTGCTTTGATGCTTATTGCAGTTATCCCAGTTTGCTATCCTTCAGCAGCAGGGTGCATGGATAGGGAGGGCTCTTAAAACAGTGGCAGGGCACATGCTGTGCATTCAATGCTCAGCATTTAAAGGGAACAGGCAGCAGTTAGGTGCTCTGCTGCCTACAAGTATATGCAGTGCAGATAGTTGGTGCCACCACCATGGAGCCCCTGTCTCAGCCCCTGCGGTTGCTCCTCTCTTTGCAGGTACATACTTCACTCACGAAGCCAAAGGAGCTGACGATGCGGCCGACGCAGACACAGCTATAATCAATGCAGAGGGAGGACAGAACAACTCTGAAGAGAAGAAAGAGTACTTCATCTAGATCCGTCTTGATTTCCATGAGGTGTCCAACTGCGGACAGTTACTGGCCCTGTGTAGAAGATACAGACTGTGATGTTGGAAGTTGCTACCACCTTATGGTTTTGGTTTTTTTTTAAACTTTGTCTCTTTTCTGTCTTTTTCTTTCTTTTCCCTTCCAGTGCTGTTTATTTTTATTTCTTTTCTTTTTTTATTGAATGGTTGGCAAAGTGTGGGGAGCATCGAGGATTCCCTGTGTAATAGAGTTCTTTGTAAAGTACATTCTGCTGTTTGGCACCTCAGTTCCTTTGGGTTTTTAATTCTCGGGCCGAGTCCAACTTGGATTTAGTTTAGTCCCATCATTTGCAGAAAATTCTGTGCCTTGTTTTATTTCTCGTTTCGTTGGGAGGGGAGGGGTGGAGAGCAGATGGTTTCATATTCTTTTTTTCTTCCTAGCTTCTCTTGGAATTGCCTGCTGGGATCCCTTGAAAGTAGACTTGGTTTTCTTTCTTTTCTTTTAAGTGTTTTACCTTCATTTTTTTAAGCTCCTGGGTTGTTTTTGGTTGTTGTTGTTGTTGTTTGAAACTGTGTCATCAAAGGAGAACCGGCACACCTTAGATTCCATCGTTTGAAATTCAGTGTATTCATCATCCACCCTACTCCCTTGTCATGAGAGCTTGGAAGAACACACTTTTTAGGAGAATGGTTTGCAGCTGCCCAGGTTTCCAACGCAGCGAAGACTAGCCGAAATAGGCTGAAACATCCGGAATATGCTCTGCTTTTCATTGAGACCCAGAACCATGCTGAGTTACCTGCAAGCAAAGTGGACCCTGGGAGAGAGCAGAGTCTGTCCTTTATTCTAGGTCTATAGACTGACTCCTCTTTGCTGGACATGCCCATATTGTCTGTACAGGAACAGGGTATTGAGCGCATTTCCCCGGTTCTCACCCTAAACAGCCGTGACAGATGAGGGCTGCTCCTTTTCGTGCAAGTAGGCAAATTTGAGTTGTCGCAGAAGGGAAAGCAGGGAGGGAAGAAATGCGAAGTTCTGCTCTAATTATTTTCTGTTGCAAATGATCCCCACGCTGGCTCCCAATTGGCCTCGCATCGCTGTAATTTACAGGAAACAGGAAAAAGAAAAAACTTTGTGATGTGAAAGGAATACGAATCGGCCGACTTCTTTTTCTTTTTCTTCATTATTATGTTATCTGTCTTGGTTTGCCCCTTCTTCCTCTCCTCTTCTCTTTTGTATCTTGCTAAAGAGGGCACAGAGGGTGAGGCGCTATGATTGCGGCCTGCAGGTACTGTACATTACAGGTATTGGTCATGCTGAGGTATCCGTCCACAGACTGTGGAACTTTTCATTCCTTCAGATTTGACTTCACAAAAGGCAGGAGAGGAGAGAAGAAAAGACGCCTTGTTTTCATGCTGGACTGCCCTGCATCTCTGTTCCAGAAAGGTCAGAGCAGAGGTGGAGAAATCAGCATGGAAGGTTTTTCCCCCCTTCCAGTTACTCAATCCAAACTCTTAAACGCTGAGTTTGTATGAGGAAATCAAGAATACATATATATATATATTCTTTATTTCCTTTTCCCTGACTCTGTACCTTCCAAACGCAGCCCCTGGCCTCCTTCCTCAGCCTTAAGAGCCATCTGCCAATAAATTACTGATCCTTGCATGATGGTAGTCATGGTGAAGAGATAACTAAAAATAAGTTTACCTTGTGAGTGTTGGAGATCTGAAGCCTCGAGAGGAAGAGAGCCAAGTCTGTGTGTCTGCCACTTCCTTTCCTGGGGAGGGGGAAGCATGGTACCCCACCCCCCCTTGGGGATAATACGCTGCTTCTAAACTCTTTTACCAAAAGGAGAAAGCGACGTGTGATGTGAATCAGGATTTTTATTTTTTTTAATGAGGCACCAGATAAAGGGTTGGCATTAAGAAGAGGCTAGCTCATGAGGCAACCCCTCAGTTCATTACGGAATTAAGGCATTTGAAGGATTAATTTTAGCGGCAGTCATGTTACGTACATGCCAAGTTTTATTAGGGGAGAATATCATCTCTAGATGTATTTTAAAAGGCTTTAAAAAAATAGTTATGTTTGTGTGTTTTAGGTTTGTTTAATTGTTGGCAGAGCCATTCAGATGCTACCTTTCAACACAAAATAAAACCCCTTCCCCCTCTTCTTTTTCGTACAGTATTTTCCTTCCCCGCCCCCCCTCTCCTTTAGCACCATGAAAACGCAATCGACCTCTTGCAAAGTTTTGTAACGTGCCCCTCTTGTTTCTCTGCCTTCTGTACTGCTTGAGACAACAGGTCAACCCCATGGAAGGGCAAAGACAGTGATTGAAAAATTGTGGGGGTGGGTTTTGGGGAGGGGGCTTTTTTCTACCCATTGATCACAGAACTGGCATACCGTTCCCTGAGCAGCTCATCTTTGTTTTGAAAAGTGTACAGTCGTGCAAGTGTTCCCAATGTAACTTTGACTTAATAATGTTGACATGTCTCAGGTTCATGTGTTTTGATTGGTGTTTTCCGTCTCAGGTAGATCGCGAAAAGTTTTTGGCCCCACACGTTGGAAGAGAACACAACGAGCAACCACAACAGGAACTGATGGGTTTTAGTTGTATATCAAGTTTTAAAGGGTTTTTACTTTTCTTTCCCCCTGCCCCCCTGCAAGTATACAGTGCACTGTTTGAAATGTATTGTTAAGTATTGATTTGTACAGGGTTAGATTACAAGGATTTTGTTAAGAGTGGAGAAAGAACAAACTTGTTTCCCGGGGGTTTGCAGCTTGGAGATTTTTCTTGGGCTTTGTGGTTGGGGAGTTTATTTTTTATAACATCAGCAACAGCAAAATAGGAATGTTGCCAAGAAAAATATGGGATGCATAACTGATGCCAAATAAGCTTGTTCTTTACTCACCGCCAGTGACATTTCGTTACTTCTGCCCCCTTAGGCCGATTCTGTTTTAAGGTGTCCATGGACAATGTTGCAGTGTAAGAAAACGCATATTCATATCTTCCCATTCACATTTTGTATTGGTTCATGTATACCATTTTTACAAAGAAAAAGAAGTACTATAAAGTATCTGTCTTCTTAATAAAAACAAATTAATGTTACAAAACTACTTTTCTGTCTCGTTCTGCACTCTTTTGCGGCAGCATCTACAAGGGATGCTCCTAAGTAGGAGGCAGGCAGCTGTGTCCTCAGCCCTGTTTTGGGAGCCCCACCAGACACCATGTTTGTGTGCTCAACCAGTCCTCCATCCCAAAACACACAACTTGGTGTCTCAGCTTTTCTTAAATTATCTGTGCCAGTCGCAAGTGCTTCTCTGAGGTCTGCCATGGCTCCCATTCATAAGCTCCTTACTGTGTGATGCAATGTGGCACCCTCCAAATGTAAACTACAACTCCCATCAGCCACAGCCAGCATAACCAATGGAAGATGGGAGTTGTAGTCCACCAACAGCTGCAGGACCCCAGGTTGGCTAACCTTGGTGTAGGCTCACAAGCCCATCCCAAACACCACAGGCAGCTGGCCTTTCGCAAATTAAACATACCTGGTCTGTGCCCGTCTCTTGGTGAGACTGTGGGTTGTGTCCTTAATTTCTGGCCTCCCCAAAATCCAAGCACTGCTTACCTTCTTTTTCACCTTTCCTAATTGTAACAATTGCTTAAGGGCTAACTATGCAGCTTCCTGTCAGAAAGGAAGCACTTATCCCTCCATCTGCCTGGTGGCTGTAGCGTTCTTGAGCACACCCTGGCAGGTAGGGAAATGTATCTGTATTCTAGGCTGGCAGAATGGTGTTTGCTTTTTCTTGCTCGGCCTTGTAGTATTTTTAGAGTTTCCTCTCCCGCAAAATTATTTGTGCAGAAATGCCCTCCGATGTAGCTGTTAGGGGAGGCTTTCCCCTGAAGCCCCAGTGGTTTCCTTCCCTTATTTGGAAAGAAAATAAAGGAAATCTGTTTCCTGAAGGGCAGGCGATGGAGTTATTAGTTTTTCCACTATTGTTGTTGGCTGATGGCATCTCCCGGTACATTGGCGGGTGGCCCTAAGGTGGTGTGTGGGCTCTAATTGGTGCCATCGTTCACCATCCTGCACAAGCAAGGAAAGGGAAACCTTGCTCAATAGAAGAGGCTGTTTTCCTTGGAGAAATATTGTGCTTATGCTTTCTTCTGGAACACTAAAAACACAGCACCGTTGCTCTTCTCAACACCTTTTATTTTATTTTTTATTTTTTTCCTTGCTCTTCAGGCAGAAGAGGGGAGCTGGCCATGGACTTGCCTAGCTCTCAGGAATTGGTCCTCTGCTCTGCCAACCTTGACTGAGGCACAGCTGATGCTTTTTGGGTCTCTCTTTCCTTCTTGGTTCCAGCCTCCCAGCCACTTCTGGGAAAGACGGCAGGAAGAGGTTGCTAGCAGCCTGCTGAGCAGTGCTTATTTTACCCAGGGTGGCCTGACAAGCCTGCTTTTCAACCCACAATTCTACTACTCCTTACCCTCAGCAAGCCATTATCCTGAGCCTTACTGTTGTGGCTGTGTGAGTGTGTGTGTGTTGGGTTACATCCTGTCTTGGTATTGACCCGCATCTGACTACACCCTAGAACAGATTTTACTCCATATTACCTTTCCAACCCACGTTTAAAAATGTTGCTTATGTTCTGGCTAACCCTACTGCTGCAGCAGTAATAGCTGCATTTGACAATGGGGAGAGGCATAGAAACAGCCTTCCAGGGTCCCTCTAACCCTGCTAATGGCCAGTTCAATGAAATAGTCACGTGGTTCCCAATTGGTGGTTTGCAGGCCCTAGGGGGTCCGTGGCACCATTCACATAACAAAAACCAACCCAGAGATATCAACATTTTCAAAAGTAAGAGGTCTATATCTTGGCTTTTGGAAAACGAGGTTTACAGTGTTTCGCTAACTGGGAACCACTGGTATAGTCTATTGTAATACTTCAGCCCCTGCCCATTGCCTCCAAGGTTTGAGGGAGGCACTTTTAAGGATGATAAACTTCTGTAGCTCAGCAGTAGAGTATCTGGTTTGCATGCAGAGGGTCTGAGGTTCAATGACTGGGATCTTCAAGTAGGACTGGGGAAAACTCCTACATGAAACCCTGGAGAGCCAGTGCCAGTCAGTACAGGCAGTACCAAGGAAGATGAACCAATGGTCTGACTCTGTATAAAACAGCTTCCTATATTTGGAGTGGAACCCCAGAGGTAGAATGCTAAATAATTTTCTTGGCGATCAGACAGCAATGTATTTCCACTGGCAATTAAAAACACTTTTGTTCACCCAGGCATTCGTGAATTGCTCTTGGTAGCTTGTTTGCTACATTTATCATGTGATTTTAGTCTTTAGATTTTTATTTGTTTGGATGAAAGTTGTGGTATGATTCTGTGGTGTTGTCTGGATTTTGCTGCACACTGCTTTTGATCTAGAAATTGCCAGTGAAAAAAAAAGACAGGGAATGTTTGCACAGATTGAGGTAGCCCTTTGTCTCTGGTTTGTGTCCAAACCGATAACCCTAGAATCATAGAATTATAGAGTTGGAAAGACCCCCAAAGCAATGCAGAATCCTCTGCAATCCAGGAATCACAGCTGAAAAATCCCTGGCAGATGGCCATCCAAACCTCTGTTTAAAAACTTCCAATGAAGGGGAGGCCACCATCTTCTGTGGTATAGCCCGTTCCATTGTTGTCAGAGAGTTCTTCCTAATGTTAAGTTGGAATCTCCTTCCTTGTAATTTGTATCCATTGGTTTGGGTCCTACCCTCTGGAGCAGCAGAAGACAGGCTTGCTCCATCTTCCATGTGACATCCCTTTAGATGTTTGAAGGTGGCTATCATATCACTATAGGGATGCGGGTGGCGCTGTGGGTAAAACCTCAGCGCCTAGGACTTGCCGATCGCATAGTCGGTGGTTCGAATCCCCGCGGCGGGGTGCGCTCCTGTCATTCGGTCCCAGCGCCTGCCAACCTAGCAGTTTGAAAGCACCTCTGGGTGCAAGTAGATAAATAGGGACCGCATACCAGCGGGAAGGTAAACGGCGTTCCGTGTGCTGCGCTGGCTCGCCAGATGCACCTTGTCACGCTGGCCACGTGACCCGGAAGTGTCTGCGGACAGCGCTGGCTCCCGGCCTATAAAGTGAGATGAGTGCACAACCCTAGAGTCTGGCAAGACTAGCCCGTACGGGCAGGGGTACCTTTACCTTTATCATATCACTATAGGGACACGGGTGGCGCTGTGGTCTAAACCACTGAGCCTCTAGGACTTGCCCATCAGAAGGTCGGCATTTCGAATCCCCGCGACAGGGTGAGCTCCTGTTGCTCTGTTCAAGCTCCTGCCCACCTAGCAGTTCGAAAGCACATCAAAGTGCAAGTAGATGAAAATTTTACACATCACTTGGGAAGTGTACTGGAAGAAGCAAATATCACCAGTGCTGAAGCAATGATTCTTCAACATCAGCTTTGCTGGACTGGTCATGTTGTGTAGATACCTGATGATTGTCTTCCAAAGCAACTACTCTATTGCGAACTTAAAAATGGAAAGCATAATGCTGGGGGTCAACATAAGAGGTTTAAAGACTGTCTCAAGGCAAATCTAAAAAAATGTATAAACACTGACAACTTGGAAACACTGGCCTGCGAGCGCTCCAGTTGAAGAACAGCAGTTACCAAAGGTGTCATGGGCTTTGAAGACACTTGAACTCAGGATGCAAGGGAGAAACATGCTAAGAGGAAGGCACGCTTGGCAAAACCACACCGTGATCAATTCCCGCCCAGAAACCAATGTCCCCACTGTGGAAGGACGTGTGGATCCAGAACTGGCCTCCATAGTCACTTACAGACTCATTGATAAAACTGTGTTTATGGAAGACAGTCTTACTCGGCTACGAGGGATCGCCAAAGAAGAAGAAGATAAATAGGTACTGCTCCAGCAGGAAGGTAAACAGTGTTTCCATGCGCTGCTCTGGTTTCGGTGTTTGGTTTCGCCAGAAGCGTCTTAGTCATGCTGGCCACATGACCCGGAAAAACAGTGCGGACAAACACTGGCTCCCTCAGCCTGTAAAGCGAGATGAGTGCTGCAACCCCAGAGTCGCCTGCGACTGGACTTAACTGTCAGGGGTACTTTACCTTTACCTTTTTATCATATCTCCTCTCAGTCTTCTCCAGGCTATGTGCAAAGTGTGTATAGGCTCCCTGGTTACTACTCCAAAAAACCCAAAGGTGAGCCTCTCATTTCCGTGCGTTTCGGCGAAGCAGAATTTAGGCTGTTTCAAAAGAACGCCCCCAGTTTCCATACAATAGCAGCTGAACAATGAAAGTAAGCCAGAGGTCAAGAATGTCAGTCAGACTGAGGAGCCGTGATGAATTCTCTGAGAAGAGCTGTGTTATGTTTCCATCTCTCTCTGAAAGCAACCAGAGGTGGGTGGTGGGTTGCTCATCCTTTTCGCTACCTGTTGGCTCCACAATCTGTTTGTCAGTGAGCGGAACAGCATGTTTTGGTATTGACCAAGAAGGAGAAAAACAATGGAACATGGGAGTCTGTTGCATAGCGCAGCCTTGCCTGCTCTGGGGCAGCTCCTGAGAGGATATCTAGCCGTCATTATTCCCACATGGAGTCCAAATTCATGTTGCTTTTCTCAAATTTTTTGATTTACTGCATTTATATACCACTTTCCAGATAATTTGCCAACCCAAACCAGTTTGCAACAAGAATTAATATGTTGAATACAGTGCAAAACATGGTGCCCAATTAGCATCACAGTTGGGATTAATACCTGGCCAGAGTTGAGCCCCTGCAGGAAAAACATTTGTTGATCAAGCTTTGGGCCCTCCCTGTGGAACGCCCTCCCATCACATGTCCAGGAGATGAAGAACTACACAGCTTTTAGAAGACATCTGAAGGCAGCCCTGTATCAGGAAACCTAGCCAGATGGGCATGATACAAATAATAAAAATTATTATTATTAATAATAATTTTTTCCCCATTTAGAATATATGCATCTCTTTTAGTAGCCTAAATCTATGTCACCTAAAGGTTCCTTGGCCAAGCTGAAGGCTGGAAACAGGTGTGGGGAGATAAAATGACTGAAGTCTCAGCAAATGGAAGACCCCACAACTCATT